TGTAAACTTTCTCACCGATATTGAAAAATCTAAGATAGGTCTAACCGCCCAGATTAGAAAACGAAGGTTTTATTTGCCTCCCTCACACACAACTTCACTTGATGAATCTCTTCCTTCAAACATTTTTCTCTTCCAGTTGTGTAGTCATGCGTTCCAAGAAGCTAATGACCATATGTTGTGCGAACGGTGCATTAATTTACATATCTCCCTCACATCTCAGCAGCAGGACCAAACTTCCGCATCACACATTGCACTTAATTTTGATAATATATTAACCCATTATGGTGCAGGGTTTCCTTCGGCGGTCGTAATCAGTTCCTGCAATATGCTAATGGTAAATTAATACCGCATATATGAAACGGTCTTTTGTCAAAAGTAAAGCGATGATCTTTTAATACCGGTTTTTATTCACACAATAAAGACTGGATTTATTAAGTTAGATCTAAATAACTAGACTGATGTCAAAAACGTACCCCCCCCCCACTTTTCTCACTGGATTTGGACAAATTAGAAAATTGACCTTGAAGAGAACTGGGGGGGACGTGTCCTCCCCAGTCCTCCCCGTGGCGCCGCCACTAACTTACAAGACATAAAAAAGAATATAAATAAACTCCCCCGCCACGTCCCCATACAAATTAAAAATTCCTGATCGATCCATGCAATCCGATTGACAATTAAATTCGTTTGCAATTGCTGGTTGTATTGTTCTATAAACCGCTGTTCTCAAACCGCTTCCATGGTGATCCGAATTCGGAAATCAGTTCATTATCACGTGTCAAAACACGGCGAACAGGCCGAGCTGACAAGCTTCATTTGTCTCCAGACATTCCAACCACTGGAGGTAAAAATTAGGGAGACTGTTCAGTGAATTGAAATCTAGTTCTTCTGGGGAAAAAATAATAAAAATTAAGTCTTCTGAAATGGTGTTTCCTGCATTTTGGGAATATGTTGTTATAAGTGATCCTATAAATTGCCATAAAGCAACTTCAAAAAAGGTCAAGACAGACTATTATGTTGCTAAAAACAGTATATTTATCATTTTTTATGATATTTCCTGAATATTCTGATAAATCGGGAGAATTTGATAAAAATCGGGAGACCGGGAGATTGCATGAATTTTCGGGAGACTCCCGGTAAAATCGGGAGAGTTGGAATGTCTGCATGTGTCTCCTCTATCTATGATTTGAACACACGATCTGAATACATATATTATTTTTCATATCATGTATAGTGGAGTCCCAATTTCACTGTTTGTATATAAAAAGGCGACTTTTCGTATTTTGATATTGAGAGTGGGCATTCACGAATGAGTACGTAGAGCCAATCAAAATCGCATGATCAAAATAATCTAAAAAGATTTTGAGTTCAGGATTGTCAGGTTACCAGAGTTACCAAAAATAAGTTATTAAATTAACCTACTGTAGTTTTGCTCATAAGTTACAATGTCTGACTGTCATATAGCAATTAGAAATATAATTATATAATTTTCAATCAAATTTCTCTGTGAGTCGTTTGTTGTTTTTCTATTCTCGGCTTTCGCGCGTGCGCCAAATTTTCGCGGAAAAACGCGCGACGATTTAAATATGGCGATTTTTAATCAACGATAAACAACGTCACCTCATCGAAAGTAGAGCGAATTTTGTGCTTTGAAGCCCATTTATAAATGAAGTTAGAAGTAGAAAAATAGTGGTGAATTTTTCTAAATCCGTCATCGAAAATTATGAACACGCCGTGCCAACGAAAACGGAAACTCTCGATTGTATGTTTAAACAGCAAGAAGCAGGTATGATCTTTAATATTATAGAATTTGGAAATTAATTTTCGATGGTCGTTCGGCTTAAAATGTAAGCTTACTTTGAAATAATAATTTGGTGTTTTTAGAGAAGGACAAGTATTGTTCCCAAAACAGAAAAGACGAACATGAACAACAGTTCAAAACTCACTTTCAGGACAGCAAGAAACACCGGTAAATTTAGAAGTCAAATTTAAAAATTTGTTTACATTTTGCATAACAGGATTAACATATATGGTCAAACTATTAGTAACAATGTCATATGCAAAACAATCTCCGGTGTTGTACGGCTGCATATTAAACAAGCAATTTGGAACAGAACAATTTCTAAGTGATGTTTACTTAAATTGCAAATGACTAGGCCAGTAGCTTTGATCTTGACATTATTTCTGTCATAGTTATTATTAATATATGAATGACATGGTTAGGGATCGAGGCTGGCAAAGATCAAAGATATTATTGAAGAAATAAACATAGAATTTGGACAAGATTTCAACTTGCACAATTTGCACAAGCTTTCTCACAAAATGATTTTCAGAAAGGTCCTGAACTACAGTACATAAATAAAAAAATTTACCTAATTTGGCTTACACCACTTGCTTACATAAACCTTGTTTCTACTGCACTCAATTTCTGATATAGCATGGATAAAACTGGCACCCATACCATTTATACACTCTCGGCCTTTGACGATAAGTAGTCGGAGCGCTGATAAAAATGGCACGAATATCAAAATGGAGCATGATTGTAAATGGGGCTATAGTTGCACTGATTGTCTGCTTGGAATAGTTGGCCAATCAGTGACTTAGGAGCAAAAACATGTCTAAACCTAACCTACACCTGCAAGTTGGCTGCAACTGCATGTGTAAACACAGCTCAAAATGACATTCATTGCAACACTGAGGTCCATTTTGTTTGTAATAGGTGGCCTTTATGGAGGCCGGGCCTGGTCTTTTCTCTGCTTGTACAGAGATAAGAACTCTAAGTCCTGGTCAAACCATAGACAGATTTTCTGGGTGCACCCTTCCTATAAGTTTCCCCACCCCATGTTAAGAAATTTCCCCCCAAAAGAACAACTTTAATGCCCGTCACTCACCTCCCCCTAAATTTAAGCACCCCCCCACCGAGCAAAATCTGAAAATCGGTCTATGGGTCAAAAGACAATGACAGTTGATGGGAGTAGGCAAGCAAGATCTTGGTGAAAAGGGACAACAGTTGCATGGGAATTGACATTAAGAGTTGATTGGAATTAACTCTGCATCCAGCAAGAATTCTCATCAAAATTTGAACCAGGTCATAGTTGATGAGATTGCATGAGACCTTATTTCAACTGTGATCGATCCTTGTTTGACCACAGGGCTTTGTCCTTGGGTATGAGATTGGCTATGACAGGAACCAATTTTGACCATGATCTGTACTGTACCCTATAGACTAACAGTTGTCAGTATCATGAGACTGCGCAGTCTGCACATACCCCCCAGTCCTCCTCTGCAGAAGCTTACATGAAGTTTTTACTGAGGGAAATGTGAGTCTGCAGGGTGCGACTCCCCTCGCGCTTGCTTTTATTCAGGAAACTTCATGTAAGTTATTTGTAAATAAAGGCTCTATGGAAGACAGGGTGATATATCCCAGCCATATATAATACCGGTACCATACATATATGAAATTGCAATATCTGACTCACCCTGGTTCCTATATTTTCAGTCTGTGGTTTTTCACATAAGACATCTGGTCCTGGCCATTTCATCAGGCAATGGGCTAAAATAGCCAACAAGTACAACATGCTCGCATAAATGAAAATGTGGCTCTATATAGCCAAAGTGACATACTTTCCGGAAGGGCGTATTCTACTCCATGTTTTACTAAAACATGGTCCGTTGTTTATAAATAAAATTTTGACGACACTGTTGTAGTAAGTTGTAGGTAATTTTTAATTTTTTTTACGTTTCTGAGGGTACAGTAATTAGGTAACATTTTTGAGAAATATTTCGGCAAACTAAATCCTCTGCCAAACATTGGGGATGGTCCCCCCCATACTCCCCCCTTACTCCCACTCCCCTTACTCCCTCCCTTGCTCCACCATTTGCCGGCCCACTGCTGCTCTTTGTGCAAATCCACATTGAAATTTGGTTTTATCTGGCTAGAACAGACTTTTACATAAAAAAGTGAATGTGTGGCACTGAGTACAGTATATTGGCAGGGTAATATATAACTTCCCAGTGACGTCATTGTATATTGACCTAATTGACCTGCCATATTTTTACCAATACTGTATATTTACCTGTAGCTGTTGTACAATTATTACATTTTTATGTTAATTATGTTAACATATTTTTATAGGAAGAAAATGCCAAACTAATAGCCCAACACTGATTCAAAACAACCGAGAGTTAGCTACAGCATTAAGTAAGTAATCTCTTGAGTTTTGGATTTTTTATTTACAGTATATGCACTTTAGAACTGGAGGAGTGGAGCTACAATCAGTGACAAAATTCGTGGACCGGTTAGGCCAAATAAAAATAATAGTTGGTTTCAGGTTTCACAGCCATGTTTTATTTGGGTAGGTAGGTCGGAAAAGCATTTTATGTAAAAAAACATTTTTTCTCAAGTATGCAATAAATATCAGTTGTTTATGAGTAACTGTCACACATAATCAGACGTGCCACGCGGGATCACCCGCGAGCTACACGTGTTTTGCGAGAAACAAACGCATCAAGGATTAACATGACTAGATAATGATTAAATTATGAGCAAACAAAATAATTTGTAGCAAATGAGTCTGATGACTATTTATATATTCTGATGTTTCCAAAAAGATGATCCCCACTGGGAAATGTCAATAAAATGTTTATGGTCGGTCATATTTTTGACAGGTCGGTCGGAAACCTGAAAGCAACTATTATTTTTATTTGGCCTTAGGCTGAGATTGTAACATAATCCGCTCAATGCTGTAAGACTAAAATTGCCATTTTATTTGAAGCACTTTTGTGTTGCATTAGGTATTGTTTGTGTTGTATTAAGTGTAAGTACCACACCGTAATATTGTCGTACCTCTACTGTAAGTACGTGAATTATTGCACGCTGCCTCCACTCAATTACATTACATTATTATTCAACTTACTCCTCATTGGGGATTTTCAGTGACCGATTACGTAAAGTATTACCGCTCATGTTACTTACTTTTAGCCTAGTAGACTACAGGAAAACCCCGCATATAAGAACCTAGAATTTAAGAACCTGTTAGGCTAACATATTTTATTTAGACCTGTAAATAAGAACCTGTTCAGGCTAAAATTTCAAAAAGAATTCTTATATTATGAAATAGAGTCCAAATTAAATCATAAGTTTCAATCAGTGTAGCTTTAAGTTCTGATAGGGTTGTTATATTACATATACTGTCGTTTTTAGATACTGTAATTTGTACATAATTTATATAAATCATATACCATAGCTACCTCTCTACAATGAGTTACTTTTATCTTAATTAAGAAAAGAACCTATTAAGAACCTGTTTAGCCTGATTTCCTGGTAAGGCCATTTACTCATACTGTATATAAGAACCTGTTTAGACTAACTTAGAAAATCTATAGGTTTATGCGGGGTTTTAGGCTTACTTGGAAAATCTATGCGGGGTTTCACTGTATCTTTATCTTTCAACAATTGAGATATTACTTTCCTACAGGTATCTGTGTTCATCCCAACACACCCTATCAATTTGCCCTCCTTACCAGAGCGCCCGGAGAAAAGTAGAAAACCCATGACTTTCGGCAGAGTGTTGACAGACTCTTTTCACATGAGTCCGTAGCGAGAATTGAACCCGCGTTCTCAGAGGTGAAAGGCGCTTGTTCTGATCACTGCCGACTGAAGCATATCTTCACAAAATTAATTGGCCAAAATGGACCATTTGCATTATGGACAACATTTCGCAACGAAACTTTGGAATGTTACTAATTTTGTGATGCTCTTTCAAGCTGTGATGAAATTTTTGTCTAAATCAAAATTTAGTCTATAATGCAAATGCATGGTCCATTGGCTACATTAAAACCACGAATGGTCTCTGCCAGTGTGTGTAGTGCCACTAATACATTTTTCTTTCACTTTCCCCCTAAGTAAGACATATAATCTGGTACGGGAAAGTTACAGGCAACAGCTTTAAGTTTTACATTTCTATAATTATAAAGAAATACCGTTATTAGGAACCTTTTAACGAACGTGCAACAAGGACGGCTATTAATACAATTAAATTCATAATAATTATTGTGAAAAGAAATGAACAATTAAACTCCCACGGGAGCTTTAGACGTCACCGTCGCTCTGTTTGGTTGTGAACCTCTTCTGAAACACGCATAAACTCCAGCCTCGTACCCAGGCGCTTTAGAGAAAATATATATAATCACGCTAGGCTAGGCTGAGCGAGCCACTGATCTCTATATAGTAGCTTAGCGCGATTATATCTTTTTCTCTAAAGCGCCTGGGTACGAGGCTGCATAAACCCTTGTCTTGACCTCGATCCTTAAACCGTATTAATTTCATACGATGGATAATAGATGACAGATTTTCTACTGTATGTTTCGACAGTTTTGTGATAAGACATAAGTCAGAAGCAGGGCGCTTATATAGAGGCAATAGGCGCGCTGATCGATGTGTGATGCAATGAACTGGTAATGAGTTTGTTGTTGTTAGTACGGCGACGTTGTCTATGGCAAGATAAATATGGCGGTAAAACTGAGTTCAAAGTTTTGACTGTTTTGTAGTCAAGTTTTGATGAACAAATAGATATTGGGGGTAAAATTCCGATGTTATACGATAATATACCTTTCCGATAATTACGTCACAACTGAACTGTTTTCAACTTAGGACCACCTTAAACGGAATAGATTTCAAGTTTGTTTCTCACGGGCAATGGTCAGTGTTATACACTGGAAAAAAAAGTGAAATCCATACTACGAAATTTGCAATTGCACCACTAAATCCATATTATATCCATCCTATTTCCATACTATATCCATACTATGGCAATATACAATTATTATGGATAAGCAAAATCCATTCTATTTCCAATAAAGGTCCATACAATTTCCATTCTATGACCTTCTATGGATTGTCAAAATTTTTTCCAGTGATAACCACCCAGTGCAGGATTCACCTCCCTGGTTGGTAGTTGTATGTCTTCTAGTCCACTCGCTACGGTTGCTTGAGGAACATCAGTGCGAATGCGGAGATGATCTTGGTGACGCCGGATAATTGGACCATCATCGAGCTGTATTTCTACCGACACTGGTCCTGTCTTCTTCACTACCGTTCCGGGCATCCAACTTTTAGGTTTCCTGAAATCTTTCGCATATACTAGGTTCCCGGTTTTGATAATCCGTTCTCTAGCATGATAGTCATGCACTGTCTTTTGCTGTGATTGTTTTTCCCTCACCCGATATCCAAGGTTTGGCTGTATCAGATCCAACTGAGTACGCAGGTGTCTGCCAGTTGTCGTATGGGGTGTAATACTGTATTTCAGAAGGAATCGCGATAGTTTTGTTCTCATACTTCCTTCATCTTCTCAATGCCCTCTTTAAAAATTCTCACTGCACGCTCTGCTAAGCTTGCCCATTTGATGCTGGGTGGTATGGTGAAACTTTGATGTGTTTAATACCATTTCGGTTCATAAATTCTTCAAATTCACTGCTCGTGAAATTTGTTCCATTGTCACTGACAACTGTTGTCGGTAGCCCATGTGTGGCAAAAATCTCGCGTAGTTTCTCAATGGTTGCTGTAGACGTAGTGGATGTCATCTGGTGAACTTCTAGCCACTTAGAATATGCATCAACCACAACCAGAAATATTTCAGCTTTGAATGGTCCTGCATAATCAATATGAAGCCGTGTCCAGGGATGTCCTGGCCAGTCTCATGGATAGAGTGGTGCAGCTGCTGGAGTTGTATGATGCAGTTGACACTGATTGCAATTCTTCACTTCTCCCTCAATATCTTCATCAAGAGTAGGCCACCACACATAGCTTCTTGCGAGGACTTTCATGCGGGAAACCCCTGGATGTTCTTCATGCAGCTCCGTTAAGATCTTTGATCGTCCTGGGGGTGGAATGATAACTCTCGTACCCCAGAGTAAACAGCCATCCTCCACACTTAACTCAAACTTTTTGTTATGGTAAGATTTAAATGTTGTGGAATCATAGAACTCTGGCAAACTGATCTGATTGGTGGAAAAATATTGTGATGACAAAATCAACCAATCAGTTCAAAGCAGTTTAGTAAAAATAAGTAACGGTTACAGATATTGCTTCAAAACAAAACAAACATGGCGCCGCGCTACATAAACTAAAAGTTGACTTCGCGTGGAAAATATGGCTTTTATCTATATTTTCAAATGGAAAAGCCTTTACTTTAAACAAGACTAACAAAACTTACACTGTTGAGTGGAATTTTCAAGCTGTTAGCGTTGTATAATGTGATTTAACAAAGCCAGGAAAACTTTGTCAGTGCAATGTTGACTATAAACGTAAGTTAAAACTACAATTGTCTCGAACATTTTTATGTAAATTATTAATAAGTAATAGCATGGTTTCTCGTGAAATTTGGATAAACATGCACTCGTGAGTTTTTCAAAGACCTCAAATAGCACTCGTCCTTCGGACTCGTGCTATTTTGAGGTCTTTGAAAAACTCACTCGTGCATGTTATATCCAAATTGCACTCGAAACCATGCTATTACCTATACTTATATCACGCCAGGAGACTCCTATGTGCGCATGCGCAGACCGGACTGTACCCTATCTTACATAATAGGGAGCTTTAGATTTGACTACGAGTACGAGATTCGTCAAGCGAAACGCATGCTGTATGCTTATATATATATATATATACGCCATCCCGTACTGACGCGAAAAAGTCGTAGCCGTCGCCCATCTGAGTAAGAAATTGTGGAGAAATCTCGTAGTCCTCACGACGACTTTTCAAAAAAACAAAGAAAGTTGGCTTTTTTGTTTTCCAAAAATAATTTGTAGCATTTATATAGCGTTTATCCGGCGCAAATAATATATTAGTACTAAATATCTGGCCTGTTTTTAACAGTGTTATGACATATTTACACGTTTTGTAGGGGGTTTTAGTCTGCAGGAGATTTAGTTTATGAAACTTTTTCTGTCGTTGTTGGTTTACTGCTATAAAAGCAACATTTGAATGGAAACTAAAACGACTACGTACGGTAATTTCCTCGCACGCGATCAAATCTCGTACTCGTAGTCAAATCTAAAGTTATACCTAAATCCTAATAACAAAAAATCATGACATGGCCAAAATACAATTGTTGTTTACCTTTTTCGCAGCGAAAAAATGGTCTAACGACGCAAAATTAAACACACAAAAATACCTCACTTTCCAACGCTGTGTATTCAAACGCTCAACTCCGAATTTTATGGAAACTTTTGGAGATAAGCTCATAATTATAATCTTTACCATCAACTGAATTTCGTAGTTTGGACGACTTGATAGGATGCCCAAATGCTGTTTTGAAATTTTCCTTCCATCGAAGTCATCAAAAACCCGACTCATTACCCTCAATATTTCTTTCAAAATTCAACTATACAAGCCAAACAAGCAATGAAAAAAAAGCGAAAATACAACAGCAGGAAAAATCACGCTCCTTGTTAACTTTTGCCGAAAAGCACGCTCGTGCCAGTCCACTTCCGCATCACACATCGATCATCGCAACATCAGCGCGTTTCATCGCCCTCTATATAAGCCCCCTGGTCAGAAAATGGCAGCCAAATGCGCCCCTAGAAATCCTTTGACTCGAGCAATTTGAGTTGCGTCCTTCGCTATTCAGCTTAGCTCTCAGCTGCAAGTAACCATGATTAACAGTTATACCCACTTGTACCTAATAACACAATTCAGTACGAAATAGATTTTGCGTTGTTGGATGAGTATTTTTCGATAACCTGGATGAGGGGGATGGAGAGGGGAGTTAGATACCATTTCCCCAATTTTCTCCAAATCCCATTTCCCAACCCTTTTTTACGTCAAATCCCAGTGCCACTATGAATTGAAAGAAAATCCCAGAGTAGGTGGTCCGTCTACTGCACGTGATGTCTTTTAAAAACATTTCAGCGTTCAATTACTTCGCTTTGGAACTAGCTTTGTCAATAGAAAGGTATACGACTGACTTACAATAGCAGAAAAATGACCTCTTCGAGCCATACAGTAAGTCGGTTAAATTCACTATCACAAATTGGCCTTTTAATACAAATTCTCTATCAAAAATCGCTCTGTAGCTGCTGTTAAAGTTATTTCACTCTGAAATGTCCAACTATAATTGTCTTTATAATTGTATTTGGGTTTCGCATTCCCAATAGGCAATTCCAGCTTTTAATTTATGCGCGCAAGGGGTGACGGTTAGTAAGGTATCATATTGCTGATTATGCTGAAAATTTTCAATAAAAACTGCCAAAAACAACCGAAATATTTCAATATTTATGAGCTATCACTCAGTTTTTACACGGCCGCCATTTTTATTTTTTCAGCATAATCAGCAATATGATACCTTACTTCCGATCCCCCTACACGCATAAATTAAAAGCTGGAATTGCCTATTTTGTGTCTTTCAGTCCCAATAACTCAAGTCCGGGTCATTTTCCCAGTCCAAATACAGGGAAATCCCAGTCCCCATTTACGCACGATCCTCGTTTTCAATTATTAGATAAAGCCAAATCGCGCATCAGAGAACTGGAAGATCAAAGATTCGACTTACAAGGCGATAAGCATCAATTATTGGAGAAATACAACATGTTAACCAAACAGCTACAGAAAATGAAAGACGAGCAAGTTGCAAAGCAAACTATCGACGACAAGATTTTTAGGGTACAATACAGTATTACTAATAATTCATGAAGAATCTGGCCAGGTTCCACTGATCTGTTTTAATCACATGCCATGGTTTTATATTGGACCCTCCTGGAAGGGACGTCCTTTGTCTATAGGGCGTCGTTTTCCCGATTGAGAGGCTTGGATATTGCTGTGGGCTTGGATTTAACAAACCTCGCATACACGAAAACGAGGCTTTATAGTCAAATGACGTACTTCCCGGAAGGGTGTATTGGAATACTTGACATATGATTGTATTCAGCGTTCTCTCTCTCTTCCATCGAATTATATTTTTCGTCACTGGCATATTGATTAAAGAGGTTTAAATGGATTGAAGGGAAGTAGCTACTGATTTATACTACCTGCTTGAATTCATTCGATTTGAACTTTTACTTTACGACTGGAACAGTCATAATAACGTATTATATAATACCTTATTAAATTCTAATCGTTTAATTGGCTGTTTATGGTCACGTGATATTGAATAGAAAATTCCATTTCCCAAGAGTGCAATGGACACGTTCCATTGCACTCTCCGCGAGTGCAATGGAATAAAACGTATAGTACAATTGCACTCTTTGTGTTTTCGATAAATCGCATCCCTCAAAATGCTTCTCATACGAATCTATTAGTCTATTTTGGTATTATATAAAACAAATAATGAATGTTTCTTCGTGCAATGGTAAGAATATTTTCATTCGGTGAAAGATGGAATGTTCCATTCAACTCGGCTGTCGCCTCGTTGAATGGAACATTCCATCTTTCACCTCATGAAAATGTTCTTACCATTGCACTCATAAACATTCATTATTTGTATACTGTACAATGTTTCCACCGCTAGCGTACAGACTGTGTCTTAACCTCATTGAAAATCATGACATTTAGCAATAATACAGCGCTAGCTGAATATTGAAGTATAATAATGTATATAATTGCATATAGCCACGCTACTCTACGATCGAATATCTCAATATTTTCAGTCGTTTTCTGCACGGAAATTTCAAGCATTAGACGGTGAGATATGCGTCACAAATTTTGCGTAACTACAGACTGAAGTAAAATACTTAAAACGAACAATGAAATAATTTTGAATACTGCAGCTAGTGCTACAGTACATACTTGAATGCTTGAAATCGATACCAATTGTTAGCGCTTTTAAATACAGTATATGTAAGCATACACTGTATGAGAATTCTTTTTTTAATAGGAAATATGTGAATCATTGCGTTCAAAGCTGCAGACAGCGACAGAAAAGCTCTTGGAATCGTCCGTTTTTCTCGCTGAGGTGGACAAATCAGTGACGACAATATTAAAAATGTCTGCTTCACAAAATGGCGAGAACCAAAATCGTTCTGTGGAGTTAAGGTTGGTAAAAGTGATTTGCCAGGATTAAGTGCTAAATTTTTCAGTTATGGTTGGTGGATTTCATGGATTTTGGATTTTAATTTTGTAAAATAACGCAGTGATGTGGTTTGTTGAACACACATGGTCTGCCATGGTATAGATCGATTGCGAGGCATTGGGTCACAGCTAAATATACAATTATATAAATCATGATGCTTTGAATGGGGATGTCGGTAGCCATCCATCACAAGAGTATGCCTGTGCACCCAAGCCATAAGTAGGCCACATAAGCAGTCACATTGTCAAGAGTGTCCAAACATATGATCAGTGGCGGACACTTCGAGAATTAAACTTTTTTGCCTTAAATCTCATGCAATATTTAGCTTAATTAAAGTCTACCACGCTTTCATGGTCGAAAAAGTGTCACAACGTCGGTACACAGTATTCATCTATAAATGAAAGGTTTTTGGAAATTATTGGATCGAGGTGGTGACCTCCCCTGCTCGCCTGCGCCCGCCTGCGCGAAAGGGCATACTTTGTTCGGATTACATAAATTTATAATTGTATGTATGTTCAATTAAGTTTCCTCTTTCTCCCTAACAGTCTGCCATTGGAAATAACGTGTGATGACTCAATGCAGGGAAGCAAAGAAGCAGCGTTATCGATAACAAAACTAACACCATCCCCATCATCTGCATCGTCGTCCGACAGTTACGAGATGACATCCCCTGAACTCAGTGCTGATTCAACACCATCGGCAATTAGACCTGGACTTCTAACCACTATTGAAGATCATAATTCAACACTCGAAATTTCAGATATGCGCCTAGTCCTTAACTCTACGGAAAGTTCTTCTGTGGGCAAAGTGCTGAATATGTCACAGGAATCAATGGACTGCCACAATAACTCTCATGACCGCGAGGCCATCCTTGCACAACTTGGTTCAATGGACATAGACTCTCCTATAACAAATTCTAATGAGCTAAGCCTTGCATGGAGTTCTACACCAGATTGCAGTCCTATTCGCTGTGCGAGAAGTACAGTACACCGTCTTGCATCCACACCCGAAGGTAGGTGCAGTACAATTTACGGTACATTTTATATTGCATTATATACAAGCTTTTATCGAGGGTGTCCAAATTGGCCGTCCAAAAAATACTGTGGGTGTGGCAGCCTATTTTCGTAGACGTGGTCAAAAAAGATGACGTTTGAAATTAATTGTCATTTATACTCATAATTCGACGTCTTTTCGACAGGAAAGTATCGAAACGTGAGAAATAGATAAAGTAAACACAGCTGACAACTGTTGAGGTTTTCAAGATATATCAGAAAGCTTGCGAGTTGTCCATTACAAAGTGGCCGTCCAAATTAAAAAGCGGTCATCCATAGCACGGTTGGACGGCCACCTGGCTTTCATGGTTCCAAGCGAGAGCCTCTGGTGTTGTTGGTTTGTGGAATGTCTTGCCAAACCATTGCCATCATCTTTTCCTAATTCTCGTTTCTGCTTGCATGCTGTTGGTTGGCTCTGATAGGTTCTGAATTGTTTGAATTCAATTCTTCATGTTAGGCAAACGTTTCTGGTGGAGTTGGCACTAACGATGATCATATTATTCTTCAACAACACTAATCCCGAAAAGGAAGATTAAAGCATCGATCCACTTTTTTCCAGCACTTAACTTTTCAGTTAAAAAACGGAGTTTGCACAGAAACCTTGCCAAAACATATTTATTGTCGTGTGTAAACCGCTGTGTAGATCGTTTTTGTTGTCTTCTTCTTTGCATTAACCGTCGATAGCGTTGGCACCAAAATACTATCTTGGGAATCATCTTCTCTTAGTTTTAGTATCCTAGTATCTCTTTATATCCCTTTATCTTATCCTTTGTGTTCCTTTTGTTGTTTGTCTCTATGCCACCTAAACTGGATTTTCCTCTCCTCTCATAGCCTGCCAAAACAAATGCATTCCCTTTTTGTGGCTAGCCCGTTTGCGGGCTAGCCATTATCACATAGTACACTACACAAACGCGATGAGCGATGATGATCATGGTGTCCAGTCCGGATTTTCGTAAAGTATCGGAAGCAATCGGAAGCGCCCGTATTTTTCTGCCGACATTTCACATTTGCATTTCGAGGCAATACTAGTGATGTTGTTACGAGCCAGTACTAGTGAGGTTGTTAAACCAGAAAATTAAAATAAAGTTTATCTTCATGGCTTCAACCTATGGTGTCGAAACCGATCAGAAATTGCGCGTACTCGCCGTGTAAATATGGGTTTTGATTTGCACTTTTGACTGATTTGCGGGCCATTTGCCATCTTGAATTGTCTTCTTGTTGAGATTTCATATCTCAATTGCATTCGAAATGTTTGGTATTTTAAAGAAGGGGTATTGTGTGGAGGAGGTTTATAATGCAGCGAATAAAACCAGCATTGGATAATTATGGTAAAAGACCAGAAACTGTGCATCGAACTCGTTTATTTAAAGGCTTTAAGTATACCTTTTCTTCAGACATTGACGGCGTCTCAAATGTCTACATATTTGTAATAAACCTATAAAGGATTATTGCGTCTGTCTGTCTTAGGAGTTATATAGTCGAATAATTCAGCATGATTTGTCTCACGTTCTCTTATAAGTTGACTAATATTGCATTAAAAGTGGTAAAAGTTGGTGTGCTAACCAAGTTTCAGTGTATTTGTTTGCTAATATTGCTAGGCCTATATCTCAAACGCTATTTGCCTATTAAAATATCATATGACACGCAATTTTAATTCCACGGCAAAACTGCTGTTGCGCAAAATAACAAACGCGAGATTAAATCTATATGGCAGTATTACAGTTTAGTAATATTGCATTAAAAGTGGTAAAAGTTGGTGTGCTAACCAAGATTTCAGTGTATTTGTTTGCTAATGTTGCTAGGCCTATATCTCAAACGCTATTTGCCCATTAAAATATCATATGACACGCAATTTTAATTCCACGGCAAAACTGCTGTTGCGCAAATAACAAACGCGAGATTAAATATATATGGCAGTATTACAGTTTAGTAATATTGCATTAAAAGTGGTAAAAGTTGGTGTGCTAACCAAGATTTCAGTGTATTTGTTTGCTAATGTTGCTATATCTCAAGCGCTATTTGCCTATTAAAAATATCATATGACACGCAATTTTAATTCCACGGCAAAACTGCTGCTGAGAAAATAACAAACGCGAGATTAAATATATGGCAGTATTACAGTTTAGGTATCTTTTAAATTGCTAATAGATCACACGGAAACTTTTTACAATCGTTATATTCAAAAGCCTAGCGTGCAAATTCACATATTTGTGTTTATTCAAGTGTTATTCAAGTATACCGTGAAACTCCACTGACAAAATGAGCCCGCACAAGTGGGAGAAAATTTGCGCATTCTGACCATCGTGGTGTGTCAGTTAACCAGCATGGCAGGCTTTCTGGGTTTGGAGGAGGGTTTGGGGAGTTAAAGTTTACCAGGCTAGCCACATGTACGCATTGCGTACCTATTTTTTCTTATCTTCTCCTAAACCATTGCATTGCCGTTTTTCTTATCTTATCCTAAGATTAGTTGTTTGCACACGCCACATATTTACGCCATTTCGTAATTACTGTATATTGCGGTACATTTTCAACGGGATTTCTCAAAAATATGATAGTAAAACAAGCATTACCAAAATCTTTCTAACACGTCTTCTCTTGCCGCGTCGACTCTCTATTTCTTTTTAGTGTGTTACGAACTTCAAGGCAATCTAGTAGAATATGCGTGCTAAAATTTTATTTTAGCACGCATATTCTATTCTTTATTTTAGCACGCATATTCTAGAATATGCGTGCTAAAATTTTATTATAGCATGCATATCCTTTTTTTGCGTTTACTAGATGCCAGTTTAATAGTGTCGCATTCATATCTTTGTTATTCGGCGAGGGAGGGGGTTGCGCGGCTTAGTTGATACGAGAGTCATAGGAGTGACTTTGATGGCCACCTCGAGCTTTGATGATGATTCTACCAATTAGAGTTGCACGTGATGTCATTGAAACAATTTTTTTAACATTTGCCTGCTAAAGTCAATTTTTTTTCGATTGTTGTCATGCCATCAAACTAAAAAGTGCTGTTTAAATTTTCCGTGCTTCCCCCCCCCCCTGTATTTTTAAAAGTTGAAAAATTGAATCTCATTGTCATATGTATATCTCTCTAACCTTAAAGTCCAGTCTGGCCGCACAACTGCTTACATTATGCCCTGGACATACGAATGGGGATCTCCTAATTATCGACAGCATTGAACTACTTTGAGCTCATAACTTAATTATCTACATATTGTGGAGAATTTGGGATTCTCGATAATAGATAGGTTTTGCTATTGCAGATGGAATTTTCGAACGCAAATTTATATATACACATTTATCAGGGATGGATCCAGCCAGGTCTGATATGGGGAAGGGGGTACTCATCGATCTATGGTCATGGTTTGGGATGCAACCAGAGCAGTGTTCTGTAGAATTGGCGAAACGTTATTGTAGTAATGGTGACACGATATATTGCCTTTCCAAATTGAAAAATGGATTTGATGAATGTAATAAATTTGCCCTCCCCTTGCACTCCTTTTGCCAAGGTTATACCTCCACCTGCACCCCTTCCCCTCAGTAAACCAATCCTGACATACACAATACATATACATGATCGTGTAGTTAATGGAGGGCCGATAGTTTCATTTTTCTCAGTTGCTTTTGGTTAGGTATAAAATGTATAAAAAATTGCTATGTACAAAGCCCCTCCAATATGTACATATTGTACTGTATTTTATTTTGCTGTTGTTATTTCAGTCACCGTGGTTATTTAATTTCCTAGATTCTGAAATTTCAAGATACGCAGCCAATCTCACTGCAGGTAGCCCTCAACTCTCGCCAGCATTCACCCTGTGTTCTGGAGTACGTAAATCAAGAAGAAGGAATATGATTGACGGTTTTACATACAAGGAACCGTTAATTGGGAGGTAAATTTTTCATTGAGTATAAATTTTGACCAATTATCTACAGGAATTATTGTCAATTATCTAACATGCATTTCATGAATTTTCCCGGAGACGCTAGAGGGAACCCTCTCGAGACCAGTCATTGTGCTACAGTGCCGTGCCATGGAGCATGCGCAAACAGCGCGTTGCAGCTTGAAGAAGTGCACCGCAAGCACGAAGACTTCGTTTCGACACCGCAATTTTAGTTTTATCGATGATAGTCTAAACGGATTTAAAATCCTCATTATCCTCATTTGCACTACAGTGAAGCACAAAAAATACTGAATGTCTTGTAGGCAATGCTAATGGCCAACAATTTTGTATACATTTTTAATGACGCTAAAGCTAATATTAAAGTATCTCATCTAGTCCCTAACTGAAAGCTGGATGAGAATGGTCCACGTCTTCGAAATAGAAACGATCTTACTTTAGTCTTTATGCAAATGTACTTTAAATAATAGGGTTTTTCCGGTTATGACTAACGGAAATTTATCACAACGTTTACTAGAGTATGAATATTTCGCGAATTACAAGCAAAAACAATATAAAATCTACATCATTTCAGACACTGGTAATTTTACTACATTCTCTCAAAGATTTAACTTCAAAAGTTCATTCTAAGGATGTTAAAAAAGCGAATTATATATTTTCGGTTTTTTTGCAAAAGTTTGTCAAAACTATGCTGGGGTCACGTACCCTGTGGTGTTGTCATATTTTTTAAATCTTGAAGAAGCGCTGATTGGCTAGCTGTTGTGCATGATTCCAGTACACAAGCAAATTCTAGTTTTGGGCGCACAATAGCCATGTAAGCAGTTTCCTACACTTCCATGATGTTTATATTTGAACACAATCCATGTCTATAATTCGGATACAATCGATGTTTATAATTCGGATATAATTGATGTCTATAATTTGGATAACCCTGACATAAACTTTACCTTCGATCACGAACGCGAACCATATCTCCAAAATCTAAACGGATAAACATCACTACTTAGATACATTTGTATTTGAAGCAATATAAATCATTAATTCTCATCCAATCTGTATGTGATTTACTACCGCATTCCTTGTAAATCACATACAGATCGCGGCATGGTTTGTTTATTTATTTATTACCATATGATCGAGGAGAAATTTTCTGGAAACACGAAGATGAAGAATAACTATACTTGTGGAAATAATTTTTTTCTCGAACTGAAAGGCATCGACGATCCTTTCTTTCGCTTTTTGGTAATATATCCCCGAGCCAAAGCGCCGTTCCGATATCAACTCGGGGTGGGAGGTATATTAATTCCGCTCGGCTATTTACGTCCGGGAAAAGGAAAGCATTAGCGAAGTCTAATTTTCAAATATGTTAATTTCTGAATTTCGAATTTCAACATCAGTAAATTTCCATATCAGTCCATCACTACGCACAGTCACAGTCACACTGACCCATATTTAGCCTTGCCTCTATTTAAATCAATCTCTTGTATTCTCATGTATTCCACGCATATGACGCTCAGAATAACTGAGATGGAGTAACATTTTATACTTTATTCCTTTCAGTAAATTGAGGCAGGGTGATCCTTTCACTGACTGCAGTTTAATCCAACCTTCCAAAAAAAGTGAGTATTTTTACACACATAGATGGTCGACCAAAGAGATTATAAAATAATAGAGTGGACATTGCAGGAAACGTTTGGGCAAACGAAAGCGACAGATTCAAGCTAAAATGGGGGTTATACCCGGATGTAAAACCAAGAAAATCTATTTTTTCACCTTTTGGCTGCAATTCAAGTACTTAGTCATGGTTTTATCAACAGTCGTGACTGTTTTGCATTTATGGCGAAAAATTGAGGAATTAATTCCGTTTTATATAATGGAATAAAAATAAAATTTGAACGTGCGGAAGTCACGATGAAAATACCGCTCTTCAACATCAACAAAAGCACTTTAAACATTTCTACCATTCCAAAACTTGTTTTGTATTAAAGTCCAAGTATTCTTGTTGATTTTGAGTTCTTAGTTCTCGCTCAAACTATGTTAAACTGGAAAAATTGATGTTTTTAAAGTTGTATTATTTTGATAATTTCCTGCTCCTCCTAAAGATCGAGGCTTTGCATCCTAGAATGAGAATTTACATCCGTGCAACGAGATTTTAGCCAGTCACAGAGCGTTATTTGCCCCCATTAAGCCTACTGTAGTTCTCATTCATCGCAAACCGTCGGCGATGGGAGCTTTGCGACGTCGGCGACCGCTTGCGATTTATGAGAACACATAAAAAATTATATCGCCGATTGTCCGTGATCGTCGCCGACCATCGGCGATGACATCGCAGGAAACAAAAAAGTTTGTTTCTTGCGACCATCGCCGATCATTGCCGACTGCCACCTGCTTGAAAAATCTATGACAAATGAGTAAAAGTTGTTTTTTCCTCAACAAGCAAGGAAATAATCAACTGAAGTTTGACAGAAATCATGAACTTTACGTTGAACGGGGCCATTTTGTGCCTTGGTGGAAAATTTCGAAACACATCGGCTGTCATCTGCGACGATCACCGACGTATGAGAACTTTCGTACATTCGCGACCTGCGAGCATCGGCGATAAGCGTCGCCGATCGTCGGTGACAGTTTGCGATGAATGAGAACTAGGCTTTAGGAAGCTTCAATTTGTCCCTCGATTATTCGCGCAATGCCAACTCTATTCTTTCATCATCTCTATGTGGTCGATATCTTCGTCAGGTTTGATGAATTTCGCAACGGATGGAGAAAATATCCTTGTCCTTTACATCTCAGAGATTGGTCGAGGTCGAGCACCACGAATTGATCGATTTCACTCTAACATCATACAATCAAAGGCCGTTGAGGTCGACTCACTGATAAGATCAAATGAAAATGACAGAAAGAATTAGAGCAGTTTGCAGTTGTTTTTGCAAACCGGGCACCGTGCGAATTTTGCCATTTCACCCATTCTTCGTGCTTCATTTGCCAATTCAAAAGAACGAACGCGTGATCCAGCCCGATTTCCTGTTCCGAAGGGCCCGATTCGCAGGCAAACAGTGCGGGCAAAGCAGGCTGGTCATTTCCCATTGTTTAACTGCCCCACACTCACCCTACACTCAAGTAACAAACACTCACAGATAACATGCGTGAGTCAAAAACGCTAGCTATAAAGATGGCTGCCTTAATGTTTCTTATACCTGTATCATTACCATGAGTTTTCGCCTACGATGTTTATCCTTCAGTTAAGGTACGTTTAGACGCTGCAATTTGTCGTGTGCGATTCGTATTCTGGCGTACGTAATCGAATAAGCATGCGTCAATTGAGGGCCGCTGGTTTATCAGTTTCACTGTCATGCGTTTACCCTCATTAATAAAGTTCATTGGTTGATTGATTGAATTGGTTGCATTTCAAATTTCGCCATAAACGTAATGAAGAGGATTTGTGACTTCAGCAGTAATTTGTATAAAGCTAAGTTTACACACAACTTTTAATCGGGCCGATTTCAGGTTTTGCCGAATGTTAATGACGAATGTTAATGACGAATGTTGTCAGCTGATGATGTCGTCAGATGACGTTGACTGCGTATTTTTCAAATATCGTTCACTTACAGTAAAGCTCAATCGACCTGATTATTAATCGTTGTGTGATGTAAAGCTTTAATAATAATCCACCTTAAGTAAAAAAAATACAGTGGACTTACAAAATCATAAACATTATAAAACCATCTATATTACAATAAAAATTTGTATTTTTAAAAAGGTTCAGTTGCCAAAGGCACAGACGACGATTATGTCCTTCAGTTCAGAGAATAATGCAACCTTCATTCAGCCTAAAATTACAGAACCGTCTATTAGGGTAGTAATTTAAAGTTTATTATTAAAAAGTTTAACTGCACGAGGCATAAACGATGATTTATGTCTTTCGGTTCTGGAAATAATGCGACCGGAGTCTAAGACTTTATGCATGTTGCTACACTCTCCTTTCATGATGCATTCGCTTTGTGCGCAGTCATCGGCATATTTATATGTGCTCACCTCAAGATCTTCAGGAACACTCGTATCTAAGTCGTCAATGTGGATATTAAATAGAGTCGGCGAAAGAGCAGATCCTTGCGGTACTCCAGCTGGGCAACCCTCGATCGATGAAAGTGTTTGATTTATCTTGACCTGCTGAGTTCTACCAGATAAGAAGCTTTTGACCCACAACCATAAGCTTTTATTAACATTCATCAATGCAAGTTTATTCAACAGAATCCCATGATCAACTAGATCAAAGGCTTTTTTAATTAAAGTCGATAAAGAGGGCATGGATGCCTGCTTTGTCACGGCAGGTATTGTCAGTAGCAATAAACCATGGCTGTGTGATGTATATCAGAGCCAATGTAGTAGAGCGGCCACTAGTAAAACCATGTTGACTGGGACGTAGTATGATGTCATTGAGTTGTAGTTATAGTTATAGTCACTCTAGGATTTTCCCAATATGTGGCAAAACAGAGATTTGTCTAAAATCGTTACTAACGTCAGTTGGTGGGTATTCTTTAGGCACAGGTGTGACCAGGCCATATTTGTAATGACTTGGATACTTACACTGTTTAATGCTAGCCGTAATGATGTCATGAACAATCGGCGCTAGAACGCTAGAGAATCGTTTAAGTAACCATGCTGGAACACCATCGGCTCCCGTTGCTTTCGAGTGGTTAAGGTGATTTAGGACGCTCTTAATCTGGCCAATACTATGTAGAAGGGGAGGATCTCATTGGGGAATACTTGTTGTAATTAGGTCTTTCCATGGTTCAGTAAAGGATATTTGAAATTTTTCTGCTAAAGCGGCCTCGCTACCCATGGAGTTTACTGTCAGGCCTTCATGCTGACTACTTACTCCCGACAGATTATAAATTGTTTTGTACCATTTCGCAGGGTCAGATGTGCGGAATGTTTTAGCTTTATTTTGATAGTAATTTGATTTGGCTTTGCTAATCATATCTTCTACTTGTGCACTTAGCAGATTATACTGGGACATGTTGCCACGAGTAAAAGCCCGTTGTCTTAGCTTAATCTTTGCTTTAATGTTCGGAGTCATCAAAGGTTTATCCGTGGGATGTAGGCGTATGGATTTCAGAGGCATACATCCGTCTAGAGCTTGACTAATAACTCCATTGAAAATTGAGACTTTGTCATCTACGTCTTCTGCTTCGTATACTGCATCCCAGACAGTTCTGCTTAGTCTTAGCTCGAGAGCTATTTTAATAGCTATTTTAATTTAATATTTTAATATTTTTATTTTAATATTTTAGTAGCTATTTTATTTGAACGTTTCATCGATCGAAATGTTTTAGTTATTGAGCGGGTACTCGTCCGATGTTTTGGATTCAAAAGGAGGCATTGGTGATCCGGATTGACCTAAGGGAGGAAGATGTTACACTTCTTGAAACAGTGGCGACATATTAGTCATTATCTGATCTAAACTATTGTTCTGGCGAGTTGGTTTCTTAACAATTTTCCTCAAATCAAAACAATTACATAATGTTCCTAATTTTATTTTGTTAAAGTCTCCAGCGATTATAATTTCAGCAGAGGGATAGCTTTGTAGAATTAATTCGATTCCATTAATAAGATAATCAATCATAGTTATCTCATTTATAGCCGCTTGACCTGCATGGGGGATAATAGACTGCAACCATAACAATGCAACTGAAAGACCTTGGAAGTCTTTGTGGTTTCAACAATAGCCACAGAACGTCTTTGCCTTCCTCGTCCATGTCAAACAAGCGGCTAGAAGGTATTGCAGTTTTAACATAAGTAATTAAACCGCCGCCAGGTGTTCCTCTATCTTTTTGGTACGGAGTATAGTTAGGTCCAATAGATATAACTCCATCGTATATGCTGGGATCTAGCCAGGTCTCAGAAATACATATAAGGTCAGGATCATTAATTTCCGAAACTGAGCTGAGCTCATCCATTTTATTCAGAATGTGACAAGCATTAGTTAAAAATAATGAAGGAACAGTCTGTTTATTCGTTTTTATATCGGTAGATATCTTGATACAGTTCGTAGACTCATGGGACCTTCTTCTATCAGAATAAAGCGTATTAATGTGGGGAGTGGTGCTCGCGGTTTTAGAAAATAGTTGTTGTCGATGAGTAATTCTTGTCGGAATCGGCATTTTTATCGTTTCATAGTGCGATGGACAAGCTTCAGGTGATTGATCCAGTCCTCCTTGTTGTGTGTAAACGTATACCTTAAAGGTGCGTTTACACGCTGGGATTTGTCGTATACGTACAATTCGTATTCTGGCGTATGTAATCGAGTATAAGCACTCGTAAAGTGGTTGCATTTCAAATTTCTCCATAATCTGAGTCATAGAAATAATAGATATAGAATGCGTACTTGATCACGAATCATGTCTCCACTTTTTCTCATGCGTGCCCTTATAAATCCGCCATGTTTGAATTTGACTAGGAGTGCAAACTACAAAGTATAAACAAAGCTAAAACTACGTTTTCATTGTCAAAACGTTTATCTTGTTGTCTAATTTGTGGTTTGGGGATAGATTTTGAGTTTTTTGAAGGCACAAACTGTCAAAGCAAATGTGCAGTTACAAAAACGGTGAAAATCGTGCAGCCTTGTAAACAAAGTATTGTCGCCGGTTTCTCGAAATTTACTCATAAAACATTTTTGCATGCTTTGAACGTCACTACCGTCACTGTTTTGCTAATATCTTATAAGATTACAAAATGATAGTTCTTTCTTCGTCGGGTTTCGTTTTTCTTTGATGTAAACGAAGGTTTTTTATTTTTTTGAAACAAAAATATTTAGTTGTCGATGGACTGTAAATTGTCTAAATAATCGTCGAAAACTATGGTTTCAAAAGCGTTGCCTCAAGCTAAAGCAACACAGAAAAATATGAAAAGTAATTGTGTAAGTTTAAAAAGATTACTGAACTTCATTTATATTATATTATATTATAAAAAAGTTGAAATATTTATAGAACATACCTATTGAGTTTGAGTTTGTCTTGATCTTTCGGGTTTTGTTTTGGCTTGCACAACAACGTTGAAGATTTATTTTTATACGATGATTTCTGTATATGTTCTGTTCAGAACTGTTGCTTTTCGTAAAAAAGCCCACTAGAATGGGTTTTTAGGCACTTTTTTCCACTTTTTTTTCCATTTTAAGTCTCGATATAAAATTTTTGCAAACTTTGCATTTGAAAAAAACAATTTGCACTCTCTGCAACCGCGCGAAATTCCCACTGAAATTCCCTGCCGCCTGGGAGTCTGGGAACTAAAATGCTCTTATAAATCCGCCATTTTCTGGAGACAAATTTTTCACTGAGAAAAGATAGGAGTACGCATTCTATATCTATTATTTCTATGATCTCAGTTAAGAGGAATTGTGGCGTCAGCAATAAATTTCATACGCCAGAATACGAATCGTACACGACAAATCGCAGCGTGTAAACGTAGCTTGAGCCAGAATACGAATCGTACTCGACAAATCGCAGCGTGGAAACGTACCTTTAATTTTGAAATGTATAATTGCTGACGCGACCATTAGTTTCAAAGGTTGTGGAAACCAGGCCTGGTTGCATGTAGCCTATATACCATTTGATTTGAAAATGCTTGGTTATACGGTCAAGTAGTGACTTCTCATCCAATGTTACAGTAGCAAGAACCAAAGCTACTCGGTTAAAATTTCCGCTCTATTGGCGCACTTGCTTTACTGCCATATTAGTGTACAAATTCGGAGAATTTTGGGTAGTTCTCATGTGTACGGTCACCAAATTATCTTGACAAGTTTCCTTTGACAAGTTTTGTTGCACCGGTGCATGCGCGGGATGTTATTAAACATTTTATCTCACGTCAAGTCCGCCTTTTGGTTGCCAAAATCATAGACGAATCTCTCTTACACTTCTCTCAACTTTTCTTTGGCGACCACACGAACAAATTTCCCTTGTCCAAAAACTGTCATGACTGGCTTTGGAATAAGACTCCTTGCCAAAAGAAAATGTAATTTTTTTTCAGTTTATTTCTATTTATCCTTAGATACAAGTAAGAAAAAGAAAACCAAGTGATACTGTGAGGAGGAAGTGATATCATTTCAAAGGTGTAACTCAGTCTTACCTGTATTTCTATCTTAAGTGCATGATATTTTGACTGGAAACCAAAGTTGTAACGAGTATCCTTGCAAAGTCGAATCACGAGTCGAGTCGCTCGGAGGTCGAGTTACAAATCGAATCATTTCAGTGTCTGATCGAGTAGAGTAGATTTTCCGTGTTTCTTTACATTTAAGGTAATTCCGCAGTTTTGCTTTGCGCACTTTTACTGCGCACATCTTATAACTTATCATTTCATCCATTATACGTACCATTTTAAAAAAAATATCATTTTATGACAATTTTATGTTACTTCAAAACATCTTTGGTTATATTCGTGCAAAGAATTACGTTAAAATCAATGTTTTCAAAAAAGGCACACAAAAGTGTAGCTAACATTTTCAAATTCTCAAATTTTCATCTATAAAGCCAAAATTAGAGTTGCCAACTTGTCTAGTCTTGTTCGTTAATGCATATACTCTACGAAAATGTCAGTTGGCAGCTTGTAACAGAAAATGCCATCAAACAAATTTTGTTGCACATTTTCCGGTTTTGGCCGGCCGTCTATTTCTAGACATTAAAAAGCATTCGATTCTATCAATCATCGTGTTTTATTGAATAAAATGAATGACAATTTGGAATGGCATGTAGTAAAACACTGACTACCGGAACACCGGAACACCACCGGAACACCGGAACACCACCATTTTGTTTGGGGTTAGGGTTTGGGGTTAGGGTTAGGATTAGGGGTTAGGGTTGGGGTTAGGGTTAGGATTGGGGGTTAGGGTTGGGGTTAGGGTTAGGTGGTGTTCCGGCGGTGTTCCGGTGTTCCGGTAGTCAGTGTTTTACTACATGCCATTTGGAATCTTTGGCTCGGAACTAAAATGGTTCGAATCGTATTTAATGAATAGAGTACAGCAATGCAGTATTAATGGCAAATTGTCTGACAAAAAAAGGATTAACTGTCGATTGCCTCAGGGTTCTATACTGGGGCCCCTGTTATTTTTATTATATATTAATGACCTGCCTGATTGTCTGAGATCAACCGCTTCTTGTATGTATGCGGACGACACTCAAATATTTTCATCGTCTTATGATGCAAATGAACTTGTTGTAAAGCTAAATTCGGAACTTGCTCATGTTTTTGAATGGATGAAAGAAAATAGATTGCAGATGCGTCCATCTAAATGTAAAATGATGTTTGTTGGCTCCACGCACAATCTTAATAAATTAGGGTGTGAAGAGCCTATTATGGTAAATGCAAAGCCCATACCACGAATCAGTACACAAATATGTCTGGGAGTAAAATCGATGAAAATTTGAATTGGGACAGTCATATTACATTGATATGCAAGAAAGTAAGTGCAGCTATTGGCGTTATGAGACGTATGAAACATTTTGTTCCGATGCATACATTAGAATCTGTTTATAAAAGCTTGGTACAGCCATACTTTGATTATTGTTCCCCTTTGTGGGACACTTGTGGCAAGTTGTTAAGGATAAGCTCCAAAAATTTCAATCCCGGGCAGCGAGGGTTGTAACGGGTGCTAATTATGAGTCTCGGTCGGCTGATGTTCTTAACTCACTCTCGTGGGACACTCTTGAAAATAGACGTTCCGGTGCCAAGTCAGTATTGATGTATAAAATACTTAATGACCACACTGCGCCGGCTCTTCGGGGGTCTTTTGTGGGAAGAGAAATGGATCAAACTAATTACAATCTCCGCAATACTGCAACAGACCTTACATTACCTAAGCCAAAAAGAGAATTTAAAAAAATGCGTTCAATATAGTGGTGCTCTGCACTGGAATCAGCTCCCAAATGAAGCGAAACTAGCAAGTTCGCTTCACTCGTTTAGATTAAATGTTGGATAGTGACATGCATACATTTGTATATAGAAAAGTGTGTATATATAGTATTTAGATATAGGTAGTTATTTATTTATTTATTTATTTATTTATTTATTTTCAAACATTTTTAATATTTAACACGCCCCTCATGGAAATCAGCCCAGAGTTGATGCATGGGGCTAGCGTGTTCCTTTTTGTTAATTTTAAATAAAAAGTATTGCCTGCCTGCCTGCCTGCACTCACGTTGCTCTAATGTATTCAGAACGACACAAATTGGGACAACAAATTATTCAAACGTTTTGTTTCGCATTAGGCCTACAAATTTCTTTGTTTCGAAGGCAGCGTCTTTCAGTTCGGGTCACTTTTCTAAATTAGTCTATATTCCGCACAAAAACGTGCGAAAAACCAGTCGTTTTTGTAGTATACTAGTTTATACTTTCGTTGTGGGGGACAAAATTTCGAAATACACAATGAAGTCGTTATAAATCGAAATATACAACAAGACAAAAGCCGTTAAATTCGACAGTATGGCATTCTGGATTTGGCTTTTCAAGCAAAGTAGGTCAAGGAAAACCATGCAGGTTTCGCTTTTCCCGCTTTCTGGAATACGGGGCCTGGGGATACGACGGTTATAGGGTTGGGATTCAGATGTACGTCCTAATATTTGAAATTGGCATATACTCGGGAGGTATAGATAGTTCTTTTCGCACAATTTGATTGGTTGCTCAGCTCTTGATATCCTTGTACTATTTACCTCCGGACAAAAACAAAGTGGTTTCCGTTGCGTACCAGTTACAGACGAGCAATCTTTTGTACTAAAGGAAGCATTCTTTAAAGCTTTTTTTTTAACAGTTTTTGTGTCGGTTAATATACTTCCATGCATGCAGTATTCACCTCCACTTTGGGCCACTTTGGTGAATAATTGTTAAAATCTGAATTTTTTGGTTGTTTAGAATCACCTGATGAACTTCAGTTCATCCTGGAGTCTGGTCCAGTAAAGCCACACCGTTTACTCTATTCATCGGGCATCAATGCCGGATGTAATTGTAAAGAAACAAAGCCAAAGGATATATGCACAATGCATGGTCATCGAATTACTCGAATATACAAGAGTGCTTCAACACACTGCAATGCTACTGGTCATTTAAGCCCAATGATTCATACTGGATTCAATATCAAAATGTTGGATTCAAAATCCTTCGCATGCGTAATGCAGCAGCAACACACTAATAATAATAACTTCACTTACAAGCTAGAGAACGTTATGTCACATTGGACATAAAAGCATGTCAACTATAATTAGCCAGGCAACTCTTACAGCAAATTCGTATTGTTAGTTGCAAGTGATAATGCTCCACGTATAACACCCCTAGTAGGCGCAAGTTGATTCAGTATAAATGATATTCTTCTGATCACTTTTATAGGTGAAATAGTTTTTTCAAATTGTTTTTTAGTTTCTGGTTATTGTTTGGTTTTTGGTTTAAAAGTAATAAAAATGTAATTTAATGCAATATGCTGATATTTTATGTAAATATGTAAATTATTGAATTCATGCATTTGTTTTGATTGGTGTGAAAAATATGTAGCATCAAAGGGCACATGCCGGTATACAGTAGGCTCATCTGCTAATTTCTACGCGGAATAAAGCCTCATACAGACGAGAAAGTGTTCTTTGACAAACTCCTTGACGAACTTACATGTTCTTGTGTATGACGAACAAGTTTTTCCCTATAAGGCGTATTCCGACCACACCTATACCACGCTCGTTTTTTTCAATGGCTTAACTCGAAGAGATAGAGACAATTTGGACAATTTCCAAGTCGTCAAGAAATTTGATCTTCGACATTTCGACCATGTAAAAGAGGCACTCCCAAGGCTAATTAACTCGAGGATCAAAATCAAATTTCTTAAAGGTGATCTACAGTCCGATCTGCGCATGTGCACAAATGAGCCCACTTTTTATGATACAAACGGTTTAACTATGTTTTGAGTTCTTGAAAAGCCTGATTGTTGTTTCTTGATCATTTATTATACTCTAGAAGCTTGAAAATATAAATAGTTGTCGAATAAAGCTCAATATTTTGGACACAAAAATGTAAACAAAGGCTTTGTTTACATACGGACTGTAGATCACCTTTAACTGACTTCGAATTAATTCCCTATGAAGTTTCCCATCTGCGTAACTGGAAAGGTCCAAATTGTGTTTAGATTCTTCGCGTTAAACCCCTGAAGGAAATAGGACTGTCATGGGTGTGGTTATAGGGCATGATCAGGTTAACCTCGCAGAGGGCTTTTAACTCATAACATATATTAAATACAAAGTGCCAAAGATCATATTTTTTGCACCCGAAGTCGTATATATATTGACCTGTCCCTAATTTAAATAGGATGTAAATTATGGATAATTTGATACAATACAATAGCTGCTAATCGCCGAGCCAAGACCAGCCTGCGGCGCTTTCCCGGGCGGCTATAACGCTATATTCATCTCGGGAAAGGAAAGCATTAGTGAATTCTAAAGTTCATCAATAATCGCGGGCGCGTGGCTATGTTTCATCGTGCGTTAATTGGTGGTCATTGGTGGTATATATATATATATATATATATTTGGACAATCGTTTCATACAATCATAGGCAGCCCACTAAACGACTGAATTTAAATTAGAACTGCAGTTAAAATATTAAAATTAACGAAAATAATCACAAATAGGCGAAATATATTGCTAAGTGTAGCTTATATTAACTCGCCACCCGACTGCATTATCGCCAACTGACGTATAGACTATAGTTATATAGTATAATACTACTAGAAAATACATGCATGCAGAAACCCTCGCCTTGCTGTCAAAACCATTGTATTTTCCGAACATGTATCTAGAGTAGTTGTCATGGTAACACGATAATTTTTAAGAATATTCTTACAAATCGCCTAAAAATATCACTTTTAATTACAAAATTATCAATTTCCCAACATATATATGTTAGATATGTTATTGTACGTAATATAACCTGCAATTTAACCTTCAATTTAATTTTTTTACCTTTAATTTCAAGGTAAAATTCAACCACAAAATTACAAACGCTTCGCAAAACGTTTTAATTAAAATGTTCTTTATAACACTAAACTGCCTTTAATTAAATGGCTTTATCGATAAACTTTGAGTTTGCAATAAAATGATATCAAATTCTCGCTTACAAATAACTTTGCTTTCTTTTTTATTTAAAAAATTCAATATAATAAAAAAGGGAATCAATATTAAAGATATACTGAAATTATATGCTGTCTTGTTTAGTTGTTTCATATACGCAAAGGCCGTCGGGTTTTAAATCCATTATAAAATCAATATTTAAAACAAACTTACCTTCGTTAACGTCGGCTCCCTTCTTTTAGCCGATTCTTTCGCCCTTTCTTTATGAGAAAACTTTTGAAATTTACAAAATCTTGCAAAATTAAATGCGAGCAAAAAATGTATCAATCATCAAATCAAGGGCATATGCTAAAACGCGGACTGGACTGGACTGGTAAAACGCGGACTGGACTCAGATTAGTAAAACGCGGACTGGACTCTATTAGTAAAACGCGGACTGGACTCTGTTAGTAAAACGCGGATTAGGATCACAATGGCGCGCCAAAATTTGACCAAAATGGAGCAAAATGGCAGCGAACTTTAAAATCCCAACAAATCTGAAAAGAAAGGCAAGAAAGGATCCAGAGTTGCCAAAGTTTGAGTGGAAACTTTTCAAAAAAGAAAATACGTTGGGTTGCGGTACGTTTGGGTCCGTATACATGGGCGTACGGGAAGGAAAAAATTAGGGGGGCGGAAAGAAATTTGCCCGACTTTTTCGGATTGTGCCCGGGTTGTCAAAAAAAATTTTCAGGAGAAACTTTCCAAAATTGTTGTCGATGGGGCGGGGAGTGATTACGAAAAATTCCTATTAGATAGCATATTTCCCAAAAAATTGACAGAATTTCCCACAAAATTGACAGAATTTGTCCCATTTATTTTTATAATAAACCAATATTGCCCTACTGTGAGGCGAATATTGCCCGACTGGCTTTGTTTGCCCAACAAACTGGGGGGGGGGGGTTGCCGCCCCCTCCCCCGCCCGGTACGCCCATGTCCGTATACCTAGCAAAATACAAAGGAAAGACTAGAAAAAGTGCCAAAAACAATAATGTCGAGTTCATTGACTCGCCGAAATCCTCGGAAAGAAGCCGCACTGTTGAACAGTATAAAAGGCCACCGGTTCCTTGAATTTTCAATAATGTTGGAGTAGTCTTGCTTCGATTTTCGCCCGTTTGGAGTTGCAAAAAGTCTTTGCACTCTAGAAGATTTTGCCCATTTCGTGTATTTATAAAGTCATTTTGTTGGATAATATTTATGCATAAATTTTCAAATTCTACAATTGATCAACTGATTTGACACTATTCCACTGGTTGTTGTGAACGTTAGCGTTCAGCCATAATAAAGCTTGAATCTAAAATCTGGGAATGGGAAAAGTCAATCGAAAAGCGCTCTTAGGGGCGGACCATTTGATTTTTGAGGGGACGTCAGACCATGTCAGACCATGAAGGGAATAACTACAAAGAAGGAGAGAAACTAAATCCAATATTGATATTTATCAATACACTGTGTTCTATTTGCCAAAATAAAAATTGTAATCACTAGCTCGGTTAAAATATGAGGGTTGATTTAGTATTTATATTTAAATATTTAAAGCGCAAGAACATTTTTTGTATATTAAGACCGGCGAGCACTTTTACCATTGACGTCGTTTACCTTTTTCCATGAAACTTGATGTTCTGTGGAAAATCTTCCTCTGACGCTAGAAGACCAGATGTGGCCAAGAACTCAGCATTTACAACCAGGAGCAGGGGGGGGGACCGTTTGGAAACTGGCGATTACTTTGACTTCTTATTCCATCACAGTACGCATGCTGCACCAACCTAGAAATTGAATCCGCTTTAAGTTAATAGTTACTCATGCGTAGTATGAAGTAAAGCACAAAAGTTTGAAATGTTGCGTTTTTATAATAGTACATATAGTGCACAAGAAGTTTGCTAGATGCTTACGCTTGTCCACCTCTACCATCAGGCACTGTCATTGTTCCATAATAACAGGGTGCACCATTAGGAAACGGAGGGCCAGGAAACCGTCGACTACATCGTGTATGTTAGCCACACATCACCCATGCTTCAAGCATTGATTCCAGCATTGTTAATTTTTAATTTAATTTATTTAATTATTTCGCCCAAATTTAACATTGATTATTAATTAATATTATTTACAAATGAGGGCTAGAGGCCTACTAGAAACCATCAGGCTTTTGTTTAAGGCCCCTAGTGTAATCAATTATATATAATCATACATTTAACATTAACAGTTCAACAAAAAATATTTAACTAGAATGTTCATAATTAACAATAAATGTTCAGAATAAAATTATTTTCATAAAGTCGAAGATTCCGTAGATACTATATATCGAAAACTGCATGCATCCATGCATGTGTACACTATTAAATATATATATATATATATATATATATATATATATATATATATATATATATATATATATATATATATATATATATATATATATATAGTACATACAATAATTCTAGAGTATACATATTTTTGTTATCTGATTTATTTTACAGAGTTAGGTAACTGAATTGATTTGTAAAAAATATTTTTTTATTTTTCTTTTGAATGTGCTATAAGATCCTGTTTTTTTATAATGTTTATCAAGACTATTCCATACATCAATTCCTTTGCATGCGAAAGAATGTTTTTTGTAGTTTGTTCTTTAATCCTGGAAGACTGTAGTTCTGATGGCTAAAACGTAGGCACAAAATTAGAAGAATCAAATTTATAAATACAGTAAATTAATACATATAGATAAATGGACGAAATAACATTAAATTTCAAATAAATGTATCAAACTCTTGGCAAGTACAAACCAAATTTTCATGCTTGTATTAAACGGACTTTAAATACCTAAGAGCAACAGTGTTGGCCCATCGCACAGAGACTCCAGGCAGAGGACAGTGTAAGGATGAGCAGTTAGTGGTCACACAGGATTTCATAAGAGGAATCAGATAGCGGGTAAACATGTTCTCTTCGTTACCCCACATGTCAAGAATGCCATTTGGACCAACTTGGAAGGATGATGCCTTTAGCCATTCAAGTTTGGCTTCTGCATATTTGCTATTTTCAACCAGCTTCAGACACTTGGACAATGTCTGCGCCACAAGCTCGTTGTTGTTTTCTAGGTAAGAACGTATCTTGACAGATTCGTTGGTCAAAGAATGGAGGATCATAAGACCGTTATCGATTGTACAGGTATTCGTTAAGGAAACACTAGTTCCGAGAAGGGTTGTCTGACCTCCCCATGGGATGACCATCAGTTTTGGTTGTGATGGAGGAAGTGGTTGCAGTGGTTGGCACGACGTTTGTGGTTGGGGTGGTGGTTGCGCTGCTGTAGTCAGTGAATCGTTTTCGCAGCTGTGATGGTGTCTTTTGACTGCCTCTACTTTTTGTGCCTTTGAGAAGCGTTTTCCTTGTACGATGCTTTTCTTGAAACCAGCCACTTTCTCCAAATACAAATCCAGCTGGCTCATGTACATTTTATCAAGGGTTCCAGATTGTATTTTGTTGCACCAGTCTATTTCATCTACGGTCTTAGAGAGCTTCTTCGCTTTAACAGCAGCTCTTGCTTTCTTTCCTAGGTATGCTTTTACCAGCATTGTATATCTTCTTTTAAATTCTGCCTCAACTACCTGCCTGAGATCCTCCCCAGTGTATTTATCTACGATGTCGTCAACGTGTGCCAACATTTTGTTGAGAGTGTCATTTTTATCGTGTACAGATTTGTTTACACTCCCTTCCTTGACCTCAATGGGACCAATCTCCCTTATGACATCCTCGATTTTTACTCTTGGACAAAACTCGTCTACTTTTCTCGCAGTTGCGCCTTCAGAATCTTGCCACAAGTCTGGGTTCTCATAGTGAAAGCTGGGTGACTCTCTTTGATATACCGGTTCAGGAACTCTTCTTACTTGGGGTCCTCTCCACTTGCATCCCAATATATTCTGATGGACACTGCACATTTTTTCTCCTTCCTTGCATCCATTTCGGATCCCTTGAATTCCACCATCAAATACTATGTAATGTTTTTCAATAAACTTTAGTTGCTGAAAGTAATAGAAACTTCCAGCACAAGAGCTTTGCATACCTGGGGAGGAATCATGGACCTTCTTCATGTACTTATCATCGAAGAAGAAATTATCTGATTCTTTGTAGCTAGGGCATCGTGAATGAATAGTGGTGCGTAGGCACTTTTTACATTCATAGCGTCTCATCACATCTTGTGCACATTGCTTTGCAATGTTCTCCTGGCGCTTTGCTTCTAGGGCATTAAACTCGTCTTGAGTTAGGCTGCAGACTTGTTCCTGATTCATTCCCTCAAAAATAGGCGCATTTGGTATAGAAATAGACCTTCCATCACCTGTTGCCTCATTCAAACTTCGCATCACTTGCTCAGCAATATGTGAGCGTGAATCATTTGTGGCATATTGAAGGCGGGCCTGCAAATCAAGGTTGAAAACTTGAAAGTATTCTGCCATTCTGATTTGTACAAGTTTTTCATGGCAGGAAACACCTGGTCCAGCATCACTTGATTGTATATCAATGGGCCTATTGAATGGAAAAAATAGTTTCAGTTTTCACTAAACGAAGCACTTTAATAATATAAAGAGAGGATTAGAGAATCAGTATATAAGACCAATGTTATAGTGGTATTAAAATACACTATTTCCAATGGTGCAGAATAAATTGGTTGAAATAGCGTCAAATATGAAGCCTTTATACCGGTGTTGAGGTAGATTGAGTGACTCAATATACAGACGACATTCTTTCACTTGAAGTTCTGTAACAGCAAAGGCAGCTAAAACCTCTTTCATACTGTCCCTAGAGCAGCTTCTAACAATTTCTGTAATTTAAAAAGGGGAAATAATATTTAGCAGTATTCATTAAATATAAAATGTGTGAGGCATTAAAATGTACTTTACCTTCAAGTTTTTTTAAGGAGTTTACAGCAGCATTCAATTTTGATAGTTTCAAACTGTTTTCACAGTCTCCAAGTTTAAACAAAGCATTTTCCATTCTGTCGAGTGTAACGTGCCGCGTTGGTACACAACAAGCGCTCGCAATCAAGGCCAGAATGGAGAACCTTTTATTAACTTAAAACACAATCTTATATATCATACAACACTCCGTGGGAGACTCTCCCAAATAAGGAACTACGTCATTTACCTATCAACAGCTCTAGATAGTCAGGAAAGAGCAAAGTCTCTACCGCTTAATCCTATTACTATAATATAAGTTTTACATTAATACAGTATGCACATATGAACGCCACAATATCCCTTCACTTATTGTTTTCGTCCCGAAAACTGAATATATACATAAACGACAAGCCTAATATACAAAAAAAATAAATCACCAGGTGACATCATATCACTTAACTAGCAACTTCGAGCACATATTTTCTTAAATGTTTTTTCTTTGTCCCTACTCTACAGGACTATTTCCGGCATCACTTGTGATCACTTACATCATAATTACTACAAGGCTACAGCTACTCTATCGTTGGTCTGCCGTTTCTTTTATACTACCGGACTTACGCTATCTCTGCCAACATAACTGTCTTTAACATCTCTATTTTTTTTGTGCTACTATGATATATACCGTTCACGCGCGCAACAAATATAAGTTCTCTAATTTAAAGATATAAAATGTCTTGGAAGCAACAATACATATAACATAATTATCAGTTCACACGAAAGTCAAATAAAACTGTAGAAGGGATGAACCAACGCAGAAAACGCCAGGACTTCACAGCTGGTAGGAAACATATTCTTGCCAGGTGACACTGGATAGACGATTTACTTCTGATGATTCATACACAGCACAAGGGCACAACACGGGAAATTTTCAAACTCAAAAGTCAAAATACACAGCATACAGGAAAGGAAACACATAACTCACACACAGACAGTTCAATTCAGTTTTGGTTGGCGTTTACTTATTTAGTACTTTCCACTCAGTTTTCTGGACAGTCCTTGTTTGGTCTTGGTAAGATCGCCGCTCGACCAACATCGACGATCTGGATCTCCTCTCAGTCCACCTATTCCACTGAACACAGTCCAACTTGCGACAACTTGCGACGCCAAACGTTTGACTGCATTCTCCGCCGGATTGCCCGCTCGATTTGTCTTACTCTTGTCTTAATACCATGGCCTTGATTGCGGCTATTGCGCGTCTTCGATCGCGTTGGTACACAACAAGCGCTCGCAATCAAGGCCAGAATGGAGAACCTTTTATTAACTTAAAACACAATCTTATATATCATACAACACTCCGTGGGAGACTCTCCCAAATAAGGAACTACGTCATTTACCTATCAACAGCTCTAGATAGTCAGGAAAGAGCAAAGTCTCTACCGCTTAATCAACCTCGTACCCAGGCTCTTTCCTCTACGCTCCTAGCTGGAGAAAATACCCTGGCTGGGGTTGGTCACGTGACCCATAGAAAATTGATAGCCTATTAGGGGGATGGGAAAGTCTCATATTACATGTTTCCACTTGCGCACTTCACACTTCGATTGCGAGGAGTGGCCGCCTGAACAATTATCTTCAGAATCATATATATCATATATACTTCAAAATACTTGCTAAAAATTGGTTTTGTTTGCTTTTAAATTATACAAACCTGCTAAACTGTATATTCTTATAGAACGGACAAGTCAGGAAATCAAGCAACGAAAACGTATGATCGTATGCTTTGGCAATGCCAATGAAAGGTCTTTAAACGATTTTTAATGTACCTGCTGTAAATTACTCTAATACATGAAATATGAAATAATTTACTATAAAGTACAATACCAGTGTCTGGTCGCATGTTTCGTCCTAAAAATATCCAAGTTGTACCCCACGCACGGACGAGTATATTTGGCGTTCGTGTGATAACAGATAGCTTTAGTATTATACTTCGATATAATCATTCTTCATCGTTGAGTTTGAGCAATGTAAATGCAGGGAATGTTACGTCCATAACGGGTTTTAATCCAGTGCTTTCATAGTCGGGTAGCATTTTTTACACACAGTTGGCGATGTTTGGGAAATCAAAGGTTGTTTTGAATATCGAACAGGATACACTTCAAATATAAACAACCATATCGTTCGTTTGATCGACCAGTCGGTGTAGAAGACATTTATGTTTCTACGGCGATGCGTGCTCAACTTCGCAAGCCAGGCGCGTGTATAGTCCTTTCCTTGCAAGTGAAATATGATCCAATTTCTCGCTTGAAATGTACTGCAACACTTATTATTGATGACATTCAGTACAGCAGGAAGTCGTGTCATGATGAATACGAATTTAGAACAGTTCCTTTCACGATTTCTTGTTGTGAAGTGCATGTTTATCACCAGAAACTATAAAGCATAAAGTTGCAAATTCCAAACACGACAAACAGACTCCTCTACTACCCCTCCCACAGCAATTATACTTTTTGCCTCCCAGAATTTAGGGTACACGTGACCAGCCCCAGCCAGGGTATTTTCTCCAGCTAGGAGCGTAGAGGAAAGAGCCTGGGTACGAGGTTGCCGCTTAATCCTATTACTATAATATAAGTTTTACATCAATACAGTATGCACATATGAACGCCACACGAGGAGAACATTTATGCGGAGTAACTCACGTTCAAGGTAGTCCACTCCTTCAACACAGCGCATGTAATCGTCTTCAACATTCATCATCTCAAATTGAAATAACGAGTCTCTAACCACCAAAAGCCATGTTAAAATACCCCTGCTGAGTGGTTGGAAATCTTGATGTTCATCCTGCAACTGAGTATCAAATTTGTTGCCAGATAGATCAATTAAAGAATCGCTGGTACATGCAGACTTTCCAACAGGATCTGTTACACGAGTTAAGGTAGTGGTCTCGGTGTCATTTCTTATTTCATGTTCTTCCGGGAAGAGATATAGCGTATGCTATAGAGGTCATTAAACCAATTCGTTGCCGAGCTTGGGTACACTTTCTTTGGCTTACACGTAACGGTCACAGTTACATTTTCCCGGACAAATTTGTCAGTGTTTTTATACCCAACTTCCTTCATATCGTTTACCAGCAGAATGACCCCAGGTGAAACATAACCGCAATCTTGTGGGTAATCAGATCCTGGTAATTTAAACTGAAGATTTTCGGCTGAAATCTGAATTGGTGTATGAATAGGCCTGCTAAAACCTTCTGATGTACCACAACGCAAATATGCCTTGTCATCTATTGCCCTGCGTACAGCAAATTTACGGTATGGAGACCCATCTTTAAAAATCAGTCTGGTGTAGTTTTTCAAATGTGCTCGATTGTAGTGCACATTCACACGAACATTTGAACCCTTTTTTCAGATCGTTTGGCCTTCCACAGACCCTTGCCTCTGTGCAGGGATGCTTGTCTCGACCTCTTGTTTCTGGGTTTTCCCCATGATCGCACCGTCTCCATGCTTTTAACTAGTGGGAGGCCTTTCGCTTTCAGATAATCGTTAGCTATTCGTCGAAGCTCCCTTCCCTGTATTCTGCTGTCTTCTAGATATCCAGTTCCTTCGTCTCCCCACCGTCTTTCGTGGGCCTTCAGCTGCTCATACAAGACATTGTAAACAGCCTTTTCTGCACCTCTGTCTATCTTTGTTCGATGTTTATTCTTACCAGTTTGTCGTCTTAATCCTGATTTCCATGTGTTGAATATTCTCCTTTTGCTTCTCTTCTTATGCTTGCTTGCATTTGTCGACTTCAATTGCTCAAGGCGTTTGCGTTTGTTGGCAATATCAAACTCTGTATCATTTATTTCTTCTGCGTCACATCTCTTCCTCTTCAGAGCTAGCTTTTCAGAATCTTTTTCTATCTCCTTTGAAATTTTGGAAATCAAGTCCTCCAGACTTTTCTCTGCTTCTTGGCAAGCTTCATTTTCTCTCTGTTCCACTTCTTGTACAAATTTGAGCGTTTCTGTATTTATATTGCTAGCAAAGCTCTCGTTTATACCCAAGAACATTTTCATAACGGTTCCAGTTAGCAACATGCTTAAAATGAAGTAGACTACTGCAAAATCTATCGCAGAGGAAAGAAGCTTCTTCAGCATTGGAAAAAGAGAGCTTAGAAACAAAAGTGTGTGTCTTTGTATGCCAACTGAAGTATCGGTTAGGTTTTTCTCTCCCAAGATATCTATGCCTTTACACAGTGAGATATTGTCAATTGGTTTCTCAAGTAGGAGAACATACAAATCATTTCTGGCATATATTATGATGACAGGTAATCCATTAGTTTGAAGAAGATCTCTGAACTGCACTTTTGCGTTTCTTTTGGAGACACTTGCTTTACTTTCTAGCTTCGCAGCGTATTCATCAAACGCAAGATGAAATGGCAAACAGTTCTTCACTGTGAGCTCGTCGAGTAAACATAAAAGAGACGCGTAAGAACTCAATTTAGACGATGAAGTTGATCGAGAAATCTTATCTTCTAGATTTGCCCTTGCCTCAGAAACGGTCTTGTTGCATCCAGATATCCGAATGTGAGGTAAACCTTGTGAAAGAAAGGAGTTTCTTTGCTTTGTTCTACTAGTATGAGCCGCAGAACTATGCAAAAGGGACGCCATTGCGGAGTTTTCTGGTTTTTCCCGCCTTTCGTTTATATTGAATTATAAATACACTATTCCATCCATCAAACTTACATTTGGATATATAAATTCATTCCATTAAATATTTTCTAAAACGCAACAAACCTTAAACCCAAACATTACCCTTACCCTAACGGCCTATAAACTTGAATTCTAACCTAACTTGAAAAAATATAACCCAAAAATCAAACTATTAAAAGTATAAAGCAGGAAAATAATTTTTAAAAAATGACGTAATGACAGTTTGGTAGATGGAAAAAAACAAGTATTTCTGTATGGCAATTGCTAGATAGTATACTTCAAAATAAGGTTTCCGTTTTTATATCAATTTTTAAAATAATTAAAATAAGTTAGGGTTAGGTTTAGGGTTTAGGTTAGGGTTAGGTTCGAGAGTTAGGGTGAGGATTAGTATTAGGGTTAGGGTTTAGTTTTGCGTTAGGATAGTTTTTTCTACGTTATAAAAACGGAAACCTTATTTTGAAGTACACTATCTAGCGATCACCATTTCTGTATTTGTCACTTGCCGATTTCCAAAATGGCGGACGAGGAAAATAATCCAGGAGCAGATGTAAATGTATTTATATTAAACGTTGCTAGCGCTGATGCAGCCGATATATTAACTACAAGCAACGCAGAGTCTACTGTTTCAGCTGAAAAGAAAATAGAAGAACTCCACTGCGAAGAAACGCTACAATTGTGGCTGGAAAAGAATTCACTAGCGATCTTTTTTGACAACATGAAGAAGTGCGGTTTGACATCCATCTCACACTTGGAAGATATCACCGAAGGAGATGCTGAATCAGATCTTGGGATGACTAAGTTCCAAGCAAGACGCCTCTTACGATTATTTAATGAATGGAAAGCGCAGAGAAACCATGAAAAGAAAGGAAATATACAGCAATCTACTGTACAAGCTTTCCTGCACTTGTTACGAATAACAAAGCTGTTGTTGTTCACCTGCCGCCCGCGTTTCAAGGGTTTGTAGGCACATGAGATGGTGGGAAAAGTGTTGTTGTACCAACCCAAACGTTAGCAAAAAAATGGAAAAATCTATGTTACAACAACCCACTTAATCCGTTCCAGACGATCAGTAACAATGTTGAGAATGTGCGAATCACACCAGCACAATTTCAAAAGCCTAAGGGAATGTGAACAGTGGGCGAGAAAGAAACGCGATATGAGAATAACAGTTCTACTTGCATTAGAGAAGAACACTAAGGGTTGGACTCCGTATTACAAAAAAAAGAGCATACATGGTGTGTTGTCAACCATGCAAGAGAAGTACCCTGTAGTTGCTGCATTGACCACAGAAAGTGTGAGAAAAACCGACTACGAATCCTGTGTTGGGTTCAAGGAGTCCATGGAGAATTTAAGTATCACTATAAAGAAACACCAAGAAATGGTAGATAATGCTGTAGCTGATACCCTGTTGCCTTCAAGAAGTGTGAAATCAGGTAACAACCTTAATGCATACATTTTACCTAGACCTAGTGTTTGTTGGGCCAGTTTGGGGTTTTTAAAAGTATAGTTTATAAAAGACCACATGTGTAAAAAAGTTTTCCAATATTAAAAATTGTTGTCAAGCTTGAACACCAAACACTTTTCAGTAGAGGAGTGGAGTAAAATCATGTGCAAAGTCAATTTGATATTTCTTGGAAGGCGTATTGGGTCATTCTAGAAAACATCCATACCACCCCCACAGAGAAATAGGAAGTTAACCCCCCTACCCCCTTCGGATGTCCTAGTACATTTACTATTATCAGAGGCAATTTTCTCTCCCCTCCCCCTCCGGACAGCAGAAATTTACTCTGTGGGGGGAGTATGGATCTTTTCTGGAACGACCCATTACAGATATATAAAACAAGCAGGAATCAAAACGGTTGTCATGTAGCAATACTTAAAATAGATTTGTCTTATTTTCACAGGGAAATCAGAAGTCTATGACTTTTACCAGCCTTTGAAGAAGACCATTTTAGAGGTGGCGTCACAGATTAATGCTCAATATGCACATGTGGAAAAGTTAGTTGAGACGTGCGAAGGAAGAAGTATGGAAATCAGGGCGCGAAATAACGGCTGAAGGATCGCCGGTCAAGGTGACCGACCAATTCAATTTTAGCTCGGACATACCGAATTTCTGGCCGGTCAAATTATTCAGCTTAAAGCATAGTAAAGTATACCCCTAAAAATGTGACTATTTTCCCAGTATCGCATTACAAAAACTGAGCCTTGTAATCGGAACCGAACTGAACTGTAATCAGTAATTAAAAACTCCTTCACATAAAACAACTTGCACTGCGCTAAAACAATAACCGGTCCCTAACTCTTAAGCCAAAAGCATGGTCATGGGTTTTGTGACGTACTGCGTGGGAAAGCTGGCGTACATTGAAGTTCTTTTCCCGCTAGATATTGGACAACATGTTATGGTTCGATCTTAATTATAATGCTTGACAACTTTGTTTTCATTATTAATTCAAATGAAGATCAGTTATTTGTTTTTTTACCGAAAGTGATCGGTCAAAATGACCGGCAAGGTAAGAATTTGAGCGGACAATTCCGCATTCTGGCCGGACATTGTCCGTTGACCGGCCGTTATTTCGCGCCCTGTTTCAAATTCAGTACAAGAAAAGCATCAAGTCAAGAAAACAATTCGGAATACAAGAAAAGAATCACGAAAACGGCGTATTAAAGAGCAAATTGTGATTGATTAAGGTGGCATGCATGTACATATAAAAACCAGTTTCTAAACCAGTTAAATTCGTTGACTTGATAATAAACCTGTTTTCTTTATAAAAGCATGGCTTTTAATAGTTTACATTTTAATATATAGAATTGAGTTTAATATTGACAAACAGAAATTAGTTAATATAATTTATTCAAAAGATATACTGCATTGAAGGATATATTTGCATGTTTATTAATGTACTGTTTAATAAACGAGCAGGAGTATTTTATTAGGTTTAAAGTCACGAGCGTGCAGCGCGAGTGGCTTTAGACCTAATAAAACACGACCTGCGATAATAAACAAGACTACAAATTCAATCGATATACTGCCTTATTAGTATTCTTTATATAAAAAATGGCATATTGTAAACACTGGACTGGACTTTGGACTTTGGACTTTGGACTGGACTTTGGACTTTGGACTTTGGACTATGGACTTTGGACTTTGGACTTTGGACTTTCGATTTTGAAATTATATTATTTTTTAGATTTTCGTATAATTATATTAAAATCTAAACAGAGAACGAAAATTTGCTGCTGAAAAGCGTGCTACACTGCATGCACATGCATGATATAATAATATACAAGGTAAAAAATCTCTAGTATCAGTTATATAGGTATACCAACAGTGCAATTTCATACGGATATAGCCTGTAGGACAGCAGGATTATCCAATATTTTGGGATTTAATATTTAAATTTTATATAATATTTGTATTTATAGTATGCATAGTACAGTGTATACTGCAGAACTTCTTCTTTATCATATAGATAATAGATTAATTGTCAGAAACAATTGTGACAAAAGTGTCTCTGCAAGTACAAAATATTAACTATACAAGTGATTATTATCGCGCCTATTGAGTATTGAGTATTGTGATTGTTCATCTTTGCATAATAGTTTATACTAGTACTGTATTGTGTAATTGCGAGTGTAATTGTTTACTCCGTTACACAGTAACGTTTTGTTAATGTTACTTATTTTTGAAAGACATTCTAGTTAGCTATCCTTATCACTATAAGACCAAGTGCTTCAGTTATTATTAATAATTAAGTGTTAGTAGATGGACAGGAATATTCGACTAACGGAAATTTACACACTTTTTAAGACCTACTCAGTTGTGTGTGAGAAGGCAAAAATCTATGTCTATGTGCTTCAGGTAGTCTAGCAACTATTTGCCACGTTTACTCAGTAATACTACCACTTGCAAGTGATGAACCAGGCGGGAATCGCAATCGTAGTATAAAGATTAATGCTCAGCCGCATAACGTACGCAAAAGAGCCATATTATATAGACAATAATAAATATATACATAAAGTAATACTAATTACTATAGATTATCATAAAGTAATCAGTACTATACCAATTATATAATAATGTATCATACATTCGTATTTTATAAAGTATGATGACTATGAGAGTTTTCGTGTTCACTATGGCTGAATACATTTATTAAAAGCTAAAACTGACACAGACAAAATACATTGTAAACACAGCCTATTTGGGCAGGCGTTAAACCGGTGTAAACTATTATGCAAAGATGAACAATACCGTCATTAGTATTTTTGCGCAAGTGAATAAATAGTACAACAAATCCTACAAGTTGTCAAGTTGATTGGTCAAATTTGACAAATTCCCTAGCCTCCTTCGCAGACATCAGAGAGAACGTACACAACTGGCGGCTGCGAGGGAGACTACAAATTCCCGGATAATCACGGCCTCGCCTTGGGCGAATACTAATTGTTCAAAGCAAAAGGCGCAATAATAATCGCGTGTAGTTTATACTTATACGTGATAGTTTCTCAATATTTTGTATTTGCCAAGCTACTTTTGCCGCAATTGTTTCTATATAAATCTATTATATATACGATAAAGAAGAAGTTCTGCAGTAAACTGTACTATACATATTATAAATACAAATATTATAATAAAATTTAAATATTAACTTAAAAATATTACTGAGATGATCCTGTTATCCCACAAGCTATATCTATGAAATTGCACTGGTATACCTATATAACTGACAGTATTTTTTACCTTGAATATTGTATCATGCACAAATTTTCGTTCTCTGTTTAGATTTTAATTAATATAATTATACGAATATTTTAAAAATATAATTTCAAAATCGAAAGTCCAAAGTCCATAGTCCAAAGTCCAAAGTCCAAAGTCCAAAGTCCATAGTCCAAAGTCCATAGTCCATAGTCCAAAGTCCAGTCCAGTGTTTACAATATGCCTATAAAAAATACTATTAATGAGGACATGACTACAATAGATCTTTATATAAAGAATACTAATTAGGAGTGTTTTATGGTTGACATGATTTGCCAATAAGCTTTATATGAATTATTAATGAGTGTTTGAAATTACAATTAATATATTATATTTATTATTGTATTTATATTTTATATATCTATGTCATATATTTTGTTTTTGTTTATATTAGATCGGCAGTGTTCAGTTTTGTTAAAACATAATAAAAGATAGAGATGAATCGACATTGTTTGACTAGTTTTCAACACTCATGTAAAACATGTTTGTCATATAGTAGATTATGCATGCGAGAAACTGTTTAATGAAATCACCACAACACCAGTAGCTAATATGCATAATCATGTACCATCTAGATACTTTCCAAATTACGACCTTAGACACTCAAGGTCTTTTGTTGTTCCTCAGACCAAAACGAACAGATTTAGAAACAGTTTTTTCCCTTCATCTGCAAGGCATATCAATAATATTAACTGACAATCGATTCTGATATTCAGTTTTAGACTGGCTAACAGTTTTTTAGAAAATTACTAGTTTCATAGCTAATTTGTAATGTAACTTTAAACTTCTGTAATATAGAATTATAAATTGTAATGTAATTTTAAACTTCTGTAAATATAGAATAACTAATTTTAATCATTTCTCTTGTAAACTTTAGCACGCAATTCAGCCTTATTGGCTGCTATGTGTTAATCTTATTAAACAAACAATCTATCTATCTATCTATCTATCTATCTAAAATCAAATGGAACACGTTCATTTCTGGAATGATGTTTCTTTAATTTCGAAGAGTTTGATACTGCCGCTCAAATCTCTTCTTTCAGCATTTGGCGAAATAAATCCAGACTCGAGGCACTGAAATGGTCGAGAGAGACCGCGCCATTTTGATTTTGGTGGCGGTTTTTGCTCAAAGAACTTTTGGAAAGCAGCAACGTTGGTTGGGAAATGTTTTAATGGTATGTAAAAATTTCGAAACTTCCGGAATTTCCAATTTCTGGACAGCCTCAAGAGATTGTCCGGAATTTCGAAACATAATTCCGGAAATTAACGTGTTCCATTTGATTTTCAAGCAAGATTTCCTGAATTTCCGTCAAATGGAAAGCGCCCACGCCTTGGACACCCTAACCATTGCCCTGGAATGGAAAGGAAGAAAACTAAAGCGAGAACGAGCCTGTTCATTGTTTTTACAACTCTCGGTTTATACCCGTAAAACAATATGTAAGTGCATGGTTAAGATTTTGAAACTTTGTGGCTTTTGCGTGGAAATCTTCTCGGCCTCAGAACTTTAAAGACTTTACACATAAAAATCTGGCCGCATTAGCACTGTTTATTCCCTGTTTATGCGGCCTGTCGCGCTGTATTGGAATCCAGGCCGGCTCGTTTTGCTGGACCAGTTTCTTGCATGCTTCATATATGAAGTGGGTTAACTCGACAAGTGCTTGGTAAAATCTTCCCGCACGATATTGTCTGGGAAACGAAACGTTCATTTTGTCCTTGGCAACAGTTTCAGGACACGAAATCGAAAGTTGGCTTTATAAGTCGATTGCACGTTACGTCACGCCGGCCATGTTGGTGGTATTTCAACAAACGAATCTCGTTATCTTTCCTTAAATTTGTTACCAAGATGGCGCCGTTTTATTGTCTTTAATTAATTTCCCAAGAGATTGGTTGCAGTCAATCTATTGTATATTCATACCATCACGAATATGCCAAAACAAAGACTCCTGTTTCAAACGTCGCGCTTCTCAAGTGCTAAACGATTAAAAACAATACCTAATCAGCTGAAATGCCTCATTGTGTATTGTTTTTAATGCTTTCGGCAAATGAGAAGCGCGACGTTTGAAAAAGGCTCTTAGGTGCTGATTACATGGTGTCGAGCTGGCCCGGTTAACCGGGCTGGCCCGGTCCATGTAATCAGCCCTTTAGTGACTCAAAGAGTGGCGTAGAGAACAGTGGATTCTGGTCATTGGATTGTGGCTGGATGACATTATTGTTAGAGTAAATTATGCAAAAGACCGTTTCGTTGCACAAACAACTTAAACGTTTTCAATT